ATAATTTTTCCTGGGTCCTAAGACAGGGAAGCATGTTTGATATAAGAGTTTTACTATTTCAAAAGCAGTAATCATACAGTACATGATAACAATCAATATGGCTTGCATCATAAAACCTGTTTTAGTTCTTTTGGTTTCTCTCAGAGAAAATAAAAACTCTTGCACTGACAAAGTCAAGAAGACATTGTCTTTTATTTGCCCAGAGTAGTCAAACTCACTTATTTGTATAATAATTAGAACTACACATACTCTATAGAGTAGCTGTTTTAGACCAAAGGGCACATATTCCACCACTGAAGTGCAGCTTCCTCCAAAATAGTGGAAGCAAATCAGGGGGGAGAAGAGAGAAGTTATTGCACCGATTAAAGTAAGGGAGACTTAAGTGAGGCCAGCTTGTACAAGAGTAGAATCCAGGTAAGATAATAGGGTTAAAACCCCCTACTTTTCAGAGTGCCATGGGGTCTTTAATGACCTTGTACAGTAGTTTAACGTGTCCTCTGAGGGACAATCCCTCCCACTGTGCAGGGTGCCCAGTCACCATGCTGCAGCACTAGTTGGGAAATTCTAGAGCAGAGGAGAGAGCGCCACCTACTGGTGCTCCAGCTCTGCTTGCAGCCTACCACCTGGTTTTCCTACGGTGATTTACTATCCCAGTGTTGACTAGGCCCAGCCTTGCTTGGCTTCTGAGATCTGACCAGATCAGTGTACAAAGTGATCAAGCTGGTTTGTACTGCGTTTCTACTATAGTACTACATCACTAAGGGAACTTAGCATCGAAGGTAAAAGTAAAGAACCAAAATGTACTTTTCGCTTCATATGGCTGATTTGCAGTTATTCAAGAAATTCTCAAATATTGTACTGTAGATTTCCCCATGGAGCAGCTTTGCAGTTGGATTAATTACAAAATGTGCTTAGAGATCCACTACTGCTGTTTTCTAATTGATTACAGACATGCATATGGGCACCCCCTTCTCCTTCAGTGTCATAAGCTAATTCATATTAATATTGTTTGTTAACTTGTATTTGTTAGACCTATTCATCCTTGCCAGTCTATAAAATTTATGAGGAATTATATAATCTTAAATCATAGCATGTGGTACTTCTATAACTGCATCGGATTTTCTAAAGAATTGCTACCCCCTGCTGAGATGAACAGTGAGCGTGCAATACATTTATAGAAGCAAATACAGTGCCAAGAATAAGTCTGTGAACCTCCAATGTCATTATGAAAATTACAATTTGTACCATGGAACCCCTGTGTCATCAAAACCAGTCTTCTTCATCAGAAAGGTTTGAGATAAGGTGGTATGCAGTATAAAGTATATAAAAAAGTGCTTAATTAAATGTCAGTCCAGGTGAAATAATACACAAGTCATTAGTTTACTGATCACAATTAAGGGTGTAATTAGAATCAAGTGGTTAATAATAATGATGCCTTACACTTATTTATCTCTTTTCTGGACACTCAACTCAAAGCGCTTTGCATTTAGTGGGGACTCCCCTCCACCACCACTGGTGTGCAGCCCCACCTGGATGATGTGAGGGCAGCCATAGTGTGCCAGAACGCTCCCCACACACCAGCTATCAGTGGGGGGAAAACAGAGTGATGAAGCCAATTCATAGATGGGGATTATGAGGAGGCCATGATTGGTAAGGGCCAATGGAAAATTTGTTGCCTGGTGTCCTGGACAAACTCCTTCTGACAAGAACCTCAGCCTGACTGCCAGGCATGTTGGTGGGAATGTCATGGTTCTGGAGATCCGGAGAGTGATGGTGGGCCATCCATCTGTCAGATGAAGCCGAGTCAAAAGTGGCTCATGCAGCAAAACAATTATATTAAACATAAATGCAGATCTACAACAGAAGGAATTTTGTATTTTGTACTGGCCACAGTCCTGACCTGAACCCCAATGAGATGTTATGTCAGGACCTGAAGCAGGAGAACCTTCAGTCGTCACCAGCTCGAAGCTTGAATAGCATGACAAACAGTTACAGAAAATGTCCAGATATTGCTGCTCAAGGAGGTGCCTCCACTTACTGTATCTAAGGACTGACATACATATTCACACGAGGATATTTATTCTTGGATCATTTTGTTAATTACATAATAAAAAAATATAATGTCTTTGTTATACATTTAATCAAGCTGAATTAATCTTGTATTAATACTTACCTCAGCACCGAAGTATGTTTAGGATCGAAAATAAACTAGAATACAGACCAATCTAGGGGGTTTGCAAACATTTTTTGGCACTGTATAGTTTAACAACAGTAGTTTATTGCACTGAACAAGTTAGTGAATCCCATTGTCGATGATGATGGATGTCAACACTGCCACAGTACTATGAAGACACTGAAACTGTAAGGTCAGATGAAACTGTTGCAGTGTTTTCTCCTACTGTACTGAATGTACACAAAGCTAAACCTGATGAAGTGGTGCAAAAATTCAGCTTTTAAGCGAGACAAAAATAGTAAATAAAATGTTGCTCATTCCCATAAATTGGGGCAGTGATCAATTATCACTGTTAGTCCTTAATTTCGTCCTATGGAGAGGGGTATCATAAAATGAATCAGCTCAGCTTGTGGGAGGCTACTTTGTAAGTCATAGTAAAGGAATGGGACACAGATGTTTTGCGCTCAGGCAGTTGCACTATAGGCATTATGTGTTACCTAACGTGTAGGCAGCCATATGGAAGAAGGAGTTTGGAAACATCCCATTACAAGTAATATATCACTGAGCTGACAGCAAGGATTTCGACTTGTTTTGATTTCAATCATGAATGCAGCTGCTCAGCTGCTGTCTGAAGTAAATTTAACCCCTTCTCATGTACTGTATTTTTTGGAGAGTAGTTTTCAAGCCTGTTTTGCAAGCTCATACGTGGTGGTGTATTTTTGCAGGGCTAAACGTACAGTAGATCATTCTCCTTTCCCTGTGCTGTGTGTTTTAGGATGCGAGAGCTCAGTGAAAGGCTGGAGTTAAGCACACGTGAAAAATAAAGTGTGAAATGGATTTCTGGAACGCGGCCCTTTCTGCGTTTCGTACAATTGACAACTTCATACTGAGAACAGCATGTTCCTGCTTTTACAATCTGACGAGTCTCCTGCAGCCGACAGATTTGATCTCCACACAATAGGTTTGCACTTCCCTTCTGGAGTCTATGGCAGGGGAATTTAATCAATGAAGACACAGGAGACAGGGAAGGTAGTAAAGTATCTGAAAGAAAGCCAATGATTATGAGCAAAATGCAAATAATTACTGAGTTTCTGATTATATCACAAGACTTCTCATGAGGAAAGTGTAACATTGCATACTCCTGCTTTTTAAACAAAGAAAGTGTTCAATAATCACGTTTACAGCAATTTGCTTTTGGATGCAGTACATGTCTATATTGAAATACTGTAGCTAAAATGAAATGTAATTAAGTTTAGACATCCATAATACTGTTTTCTGAAGTATGGTATAACCTTTAATTCCTTTAAATCAACTTTGTGTACATTTAATTTAGAAAAGAAACAACAGGACTTATTTAATATAGAAATATTTCACAAATAAGATCAAACGAACAGGGTGATAAGCTAATGTTGATTTTGGCAGACGTTAAGATCAACCTCCAGCTATTTAATTTGTTTATCTCATAAGTAAATGTTATGGCTCAGGAAGGAATGGTTTCGTGATCACTGAAATGAGGAATATACTGTACACTATGAATTAAACATTAAATACACTGACATTCCATCACCTCCATTACTGTATGTGCTAATTTGGTGAAGCTATTTCAGGGGCTTTTATTGATTTCTTTTGATTGAATGCCTGCATCTTTGGAACGTTCAAAAGCGTTTATATCGAGACTGAGATTTTTTTTTTTTTTTACTTTAAACAAACGGAAAACAAGTCACAAAAATTAAAAACAAGTCCCTGAAAGTGAGGTCATGTGAGCTATGCTGTGCTGGACTCCTGCACCTCCCCCACACTACAGGGGAACCTGTTGCCAGGACAGGTAGTCAGAAGAGGAAGACAGGGAAAATTCCAGGCATCTGCGCTCTCCTAGGAAAACAGCTGTGGCTTCCAGAGGAAACAACCATTTTTTCCCATCAGTTGAGACCCTTGATAGACAAGGGCCTGGCTTGGCAGGGCTCATTGAGTAGGATGCACTTTATGGCCTAGAAGTTAGAAGAGAAACAGGTTCCGCAGTCCAGCTTTTGGCAGAAGCCTCGTCTATTCCCCTGACGTGAACACATCTACTTGACCTCACGGCAGTGCATCATGGGAGATTCTTTTGCTTCTCCTTGACTCTTATGTTTATTTTCAATCTTACATTGACCTGGTGTCTGCAGAATCTGTAGAGACTACACTCCTGCCAATAATTAATGTATAATAAATAATATGTAATGATGCAGAAGTAAACTAATCATGCTAGTGTGTGAAATTGGGCATGTGTTACAAAAGTTTAAATACTTTATTTCTTTGTTTAAGCCTTCAGTTGACATAGTTGAAACACTACATATTTTACTGTAACTTTCTCAGGATCAAGCACTTACTTTTAAAGCATTTGATATTTTAAGCATGTTAACATCAAGCAGATTTACTTACACATGCACTCTATAATTTATGAGTTAACCTGCAACAAACAATGGTATTGTCTCTTACCAACGGAATTAAAGTTAAATAACCTTTTTTTAAAAATCTAGTATCCATTGAATAAAAGTGTTGCAATGTACTATGATCATAACACACTCAATATAAATAACTTTGTGTATAAATACAGACTTCAAGTAAAGCTTGTATTTCTTATCAAGAAAATAACTAGCGACTGGGACATCGACCATCTCTCTTGGCTCAGATCTTATGATTAATGGGCTCTATATTTAAAACACTTAAGTGCTTTAAAGTCCCCATTGCTTCCTATTGAGTCCAATGTATTTATCAGCATGGCAGCAGTAGCCTGTAATATCCATTAAATGACGTACATTTGATTGTAATTTTTTTTTTCTTTTTTCAGGTTTTCTTTCTGCTGAGTGTGGTGTATTGGGGGCTGAAGACATTGTGCATACTGGCTGGCAATGAGAAAAAACACCAGTGAAAAAGTACCTCATATTAGCAAAATCCTTCCAGCAAAGGCTCATTGTTTAAAAAAAAAAGAGCCTTTGCTTTTCATAGTGATTTTTAAATGTTTTTTTTCTTTCTGGAGTGCACTGCACCATCATGTCATCCAACATATTTCATGTATAATCCTGTTGGAATTACAGATGCTATACAGTGACACAGTAAAAATTATTAGGCACATATAATATGTCAAATTATTTATAGATTTAATAAAATTAATTTGCTAAAAATGAGCTATTATGGCTAGTACTAGTGACAGGCCACATGTGACAGCAAAAAACAGTCATCAAATATTCTTTCTGAAAACATTTTAAAAGAATAATTTAACAGTTCAGAAGTGGTTAGCTTCTGCAGCTAAATTTATGTTTCATCTTGTTTAATATTTTCATATATTTCATGATGTTTATTATATAGGAAATGTTTCAATAGTAATCATCATGAAGCAAACATATACAGAATCTGCAATACAGACATACTGTATGGTACCTATTGCTTTTACAGTATTTACTGAAGCTAAGCTGGTGTGAGCCTGGTCAGTACCTGG